CGGGGGAGAATGAAATAGCGGAGAAGGCGAGAGACGTGAAGGGCAAAAGGTGCTCAGTGCGGGAGCAGACAAAAGTATGTCAGGGTCTAATACGGCAAAGTTTAACAACATCCACAACTTCCCAGAGTAAGACGGCGTAATATCAAATTCAACAAAGCACAGAATCCCAGAGACGCTGCACCAAAGTGAAGTCAGAGACAATAAAAACCGGCCGCGATTGGCAGATAAAATTCATCGGCAAACTATCCGTCTTCGTTACGGGAGCATACATCTCCGGCCGTTCAGGCAGCAGCGCTACGGAGGGCTGCCACGTCGCTTTTTCTTCTTGTTTCCCCTCCTCATAAAAATAGGATTAGACCCTCGCTATAAAAATTAATCAGGCCAGAGCCCATTCCCCCGGAGAAGGAGCTTCGGCGGGAAAATGTAATAAATTTGCCAGTAAGAAAAGGATACCTCAGCTTATGATTTTAAAAACGGAAGATAGATTACACTGAATCATCCGTCCTTAGAAAGAACGTTCAGGGAGGAGAAGGCGAAATGGCAGTTTGGCATGCCGTTAGGCTAATTCTGATATTTTTTTATTTTTTTTATTTTTAATGCAAGATTTTCAGCATTCTCTTCATATTTTCGTAATGCATCGGTGATTATCAGAGCAGGTCGCTTTAGCTTCACTTCATTCACTTGAAGCAGCTTTTCATCTCTATTAAAGGTGCTTCATAGTCAGACTTATAATTACACTTTAGGGGGGCGGGAATCTGGAGAGTTGTGTCGCCGACTAGTACGTATACAAAACATGAAGAGGAAAGAAAATTCAGCTTTCTCAGGTTTGACTTTTCTTCAGTCGGTGACATCGTGACTTTTTCTTTAGATCTTTTTTCTGATCTAAGAAACTTTCTCAGTTTATTTATTCGCAGCCTTAACTATCATGAATCACGGCTTGTTAATGACCAAAGATTCACGATTCAAGCAGAAGATGTTGGTGAAAAAGCCCAATGGACAATACCAGGACTGCGTTATAAACACCTGGGACTGGTTCTCCTGTTTAGAGACGGCTCGGTGTTGAAAAGACAAACTTGTCCTGGAATCAGTGCTCGACAAAAATACTTCTTCATGGATATTAGCGATCCTAATGTGCTAACTTCTGACTGACGGGCAAATTCAGTAACGTGATAATAGGTCCTTAAGAATATACCTGAACACAAACAGCGCTGTGTGGTCATGTTCACCAACAGACATTACATCCTATATATATTTTTGGCCTAACGGGGCTACGCCATGCTAGCTTTGTAGCACAAAATGCAAGTTAACAGTGCATTTACTGGCATCATCACCTCCTAAATAGAATTATTCACAGCTTTTTATAGTTTATTGTATTTGAATTTCAGACTTTACACTCCAGAAACGTGTCCTATGTGCTTGTCAGTTTCTCTCCACAGAACATGAAGCTCCACATCTTTAGTGGTTTCAAATTAAACTTTATACTCTTGATTTATGTTGTGAAACATGTAATAACAACGAACGACATCTACTGTACACCACATTTTGCACATTACTGCGTTTCAAAGCACAAAACTGGATGTTCACTCGTGTCGTGACTCTCTTACATGGAGTCTAACTTCTGACTTCAATGCACAAAGATGAATTAAGCAGGAAAAGACGAATAGATTCCCTGCTGGCTGATCTGAAGGAGCCGAGCGCTGGTCTGAAGCAAAGACTTCACAAGCTATGAACAGTTGTGTGTGTGTGTGAGCGTCGGGCTGCGGTAGGTAGGTCTGAGGAAAAACACAGGCACCCTACATGGAGATTATGTTTGCTGAATTCAAACAAAATGTCAACTCATAAAACTCTGCAACGGTGCATTTAATGAATAATAACAGGAAGGAGCGCATCCCCAGAACACTGATGTGCTTGCTTTTTTTTCCCTCTCTCTGTGTCGGACGTTCGACTTTCTACTCCTCTTTTCAGCCTTCTCTCCATCTTTCTCTGCTTGAGTTCTGCACACAAGCTGGAAGATGAGCTTTTAAAGCTTACATCTGGTCTGCAGGAGGTGGCGTCTTCAGAAAAGACAACTCGAGATGCGTCTGAAGGAGGGGATTTTGGAAAGTTCTATGAAAAGAATTGAATATTTAGCTGAATAATTTATGCGGTGAGAGCCTGAGAGCTGCTGCTGACACAGGCGCAGCACCAATATACCCTCGCGAGCACACTCGCAGTGTGATGGCGGTCACTGGAGAGGTCATAGATGATTCATGGGCAGGTGGGAAGCGGTCAGGGAGAGTGGAGGGGAGAGGATTTATACAGGGAGCTTAACGTCTTCAAACACTTGTTTTATAAAAGCTCAATTTCTCCACACCGTTAAGCGGATCTCTTCCCAGTGAGAAATGAGAACATTAACTGGGACACGGACATGGTGCACTCTGCAAGGCCCTACTGAGCCCTCTGAGCTGTAACATTTCACATCTGAGCTGTGCTCCTTACAAGCTCCCCCGACACCCCGATGCATCATGGGAGGGCTGCAGGGGAGGTCTGGCTGGGGCAGAGCGCGATGCGTCTCAGAAGCCGACAGCAGCTGCAGGCGTTACCATTACAAAACACACAACTCAGTGTTAGGATTGCACCTTAAGGTTCAGGGAGAGTCTTTTTCCGCCGGAGCCCATTCGTTCTTCCACAGGTAAAGAAGAAGAAGAAGAAAGCAGCCGAAGCAGCAACACATTTCTAATGAGGTGGCACAAATGGGCAATAAGTGCAACTTATGCTATTCTCCGTCTTTTTCCTACACACACATTAGATTTTACAGCGTCACTGGCAGGCACCAGTTGAGTGTGTTTCACTAATGCCTGGAGGCTCTGCTGACTAAACAAACCATCACCCAACCACAACACATCCACTCCCACTCCCGCTCCAACATTTCCTTATCTCTGCTCTGCACCCATATCACCCGGTTACAGCGCGTTAACACACGTCACACGTGTTCTTTGCACCCTGTGATCCCATCCTTGTCCTTTAGTGCACATGGGCAGAAATGTCTTTTTTCTGTTCAGAAAGCTAAAGGTCACACTGAGTTGGACAAGACCTTGAATGGGATGAAGACACACGCTTACATGTGTTGGTGGAGCTGAGTGGCTCGTCTCTGCGTAGTTCATCTCAAAGGCCAAACAGTTTCCATCCTGTACAACCTGTGTGGCTCTAAAGACGATGATTAGCACATTACTAAGAGTCCAACCTTCAGAGCTTTGCTTCTAATCCTGAATGGCTCACTATATAATCTTGAATAAAGGCCAGGGCCTGTAATCACCTGAAGTGCAAAGAGATCAAGGCTTATGTGTGACCTTTAAGGCCACGGCTTGTTTTCTGAGATGTAATCCGGATAAATCATCAACAGCAAACACAAAAACATACTTCAATTGTAAATTTTTACCATCATTTATACATATTTCTTAGTGTGCGACTGATATATTTCATCTCTATGTTGTCATAGTTTGTTTGACAAACCCTCAGATTAATCCATAACCACTAATCACAGCTACATTAGCGGTTACTCTCTGTTCTGTGGGTAAACAGACGAGGCATCTCGAACATTTCTGTGCTACGTATCTGTGGCTCACCAGCGCTACGATCCATTTTTCTAGATAAAAGAACATTAGAGAACCAATGATTGTTATCACGTTTGACTCGCTGACAGCAAAACACCGGCGAAGACAAACAGTTTGAGGAATATCTGAGAGCTGAGTGCTCGGCTGAAAGAAATAAATGGAGTGTTATACGGTCCCAGGCGGCGAACAATCGGAGCTACGCAATTAAGCATTAAAAGAAGTTTAAAGAGCGGCTTTTTACGGCTGTTTCTGTTGGTACGCTCTGTTACGTTTTATCAAGTCGTCTCTCTGTTTTCTGATCGGTTCCTGTTTTAGAGGACGTTCAAACGAACCTCAAGCGCAGCATAGATTCGTTATAATTTAGCACTAATTCTATCAGCGTCATGCCACACGTACAAACATACGATCTGCTGCACTGAGCTCAGCCGTCGATAAAACGGCGCTAAAAGCATTCTGATGACTTAAAGAGCGTAATCGTACTGACGGGCTGTGATCCTGAAGCACTTTCAGGAAGTTGATCGATACCGAGAGAAAAAAGGGAGCCAAGCAGCGTCGTCGATAACTTTACGTTTCTTCCATGCTTGACAAATTTAAATACATTTCCACAGAGCTACTAATTACATCAGTACATTAACAAAATCACGTTTCAGCAATCATTAAAAAAACACTTTATCTCGTCGTCCTTTAAGACAAATCTGCATTAAGCAACTGTGAATGAAATTTTACACACGTTTTTGCCTCGATATTTCAAATTAAAAGCATTTTGTTGGCTCAGAAAGCACAATCCTGCTCTTTTCTAACATGCTGACACTGAAATAAAGTAGAATTAAAATGATTTCTAAATGCACCTTACTCCTACTTCGGTGTGCACAGCTAATTGTTTGTAGCCGACCTTTATTCCCTCCAGAAGCCTTAGCTACCACTTCAATGCGTATAATTGAAAATGTATAGTCAAGATCGCCTCGTCTTATTGTGCTTATACGCTTGTTTGTTGGACGCCGAGGGCTTTCTGTGGAGTACGTGGAATAAGAAATTTGCCAAAACCAGGAGTAGCTCTAATTCTGAAGTCTCCACCAAATGATTTATAAAAATGCATTAAAGTTGAACCGACTGCTTATTATTGACTAAACAGCTCCAGTGTGTTCACCACATGCATCGATAATCCGGCTAATTAGTCGGAGATCATTTCCATAAGCGGGAGACCTTGGTTCCAGCTCGCTATTGGGAAGCGTGTCTTCTGCTAATGTGCCCCGAGTCCTTGAAGAAACGCAGCGTATCTACCAGCTCTAAGTGCCTCTGACCTTTAACCTCCCTGGAGGGGTAAACAAAGACTTTTTCTTTTTTTTTATGACTGAAAATAAAGACTTTCAGTAGAAGCAGACATGGAAAAAAAAAGGTGTTTCTTACCAGCGGATGTGTGAACTCAGGGGCATGGTCGTTCTTGTCTGTGATGGTGATGGTGGCCGTGGCTGTTCCTGTTAGGCCCACCTCACTTCCTGCCATGTCCTTGGCCACGATCTCCAACTCGTACGTCGTGGTCGGCAACGTCTGGGGAACAAACACACGGGGCGATGCAGAGTTTTAAATAAACAGCGAACATCTGATTATATACATGATGAGAAAAGCATAAAAAACACAATCACTGATTAGTCTTGAAGATGAGACGACTGAACAGCCAAAGCTAACAATTATGTTTTATATGACTGTAGCACCGAGCTCCTAATCATCAACTCCAGACTTGAACCTATAATAAAATCGAGTGGATAAAAAAAAAAGATCAGCGCGCCCTCACACAGCAGTGCTAAAAGCTCCGGTAAACACTCGCCTCATCTCTGAGGGCAAGGTCATGAAAACACCTTCTTAAATTCATACGGAGCAGATCGGCCGGCGAGAAACAGAGAGCGAGAAATAATAATAATAAAAAAAAGGATACCTAAAGCTGTGCGGTATATGGGATCAAAGTGTGAGCATGCCTACTCATCCATTTTAAAGATTCCTGAGAGCTCAGAGCTGGTTCTGACACACACACATGCTCCACGATGCTCCGGGGCAACCGGATCAGAGCTTCTGAGCGCTGCTGGGGAACACAAACTTTCTTCCTTCCATATAATGCATACAGCTAGATTTCAAAAAGGGGGGATTGTAGCTGGATTTTAGAATCTTAACACCTACTTTTTGATTGTGATGAGATGTTGGACATTTAAGAACAGAGGTTCTCTGGGTAACGTCCACAAAACCTTTATTATTTATATTATTTATTGAGCTGCGTCCTGTCGGCAGGTGCAGGTGTGCATCCTGACGTTCACGAGACCGAGCGAGATTGACGACATCATGTTAATAAATGAGGCAACTAAAGTTAACCTGTTGTTATAGTCGAACTATAAAAGATATTTGACACGGCACTAAAACAAAACTCTGGGTGTCTGGGAAGGCTGTAGTTTTTATTAAAGTTATGTTCTTGTTCCTGCCCATGTTGACCCTACTGTCAGTCACATTCCCATTTTACCAGACGAAGCTTTTTCCTTGTTTTGTGCTCATGTCGGAGCCTGTGTTGTGCTGGAAGGTGATGATTTACTGACTTTAGTGGACTCGTGTTTAGTGCATCCTGTTAGCAAGGCACCTGGGTGTGAGCAGAAACGTTCCTTTTAATGGGGAACGGTCTATTTTTTATTATTTTCCTTGTATTTACATGACAATCTATTCACATATTAGCAATAAAAAGGCATCGAATACATGTCAGTTGTTCCCATTCTTACACATTGGACCTTTAATCATTCTGCATTCTTTCACTAAACAGGGACGAGAATCTGTCCGTGATCCCAAAGCCGGAGTGCAAAAATTAGATCTATAATCCATTCGCCGGCCAGGCAGCATCTGCAATCTGTATACGAATTGCAGAAATATAGCTTATGCTTACAGCGAGAGGACGGCATTCATAATGATCACAGCGGCGGTAATCATTCGTTGCCATAACTCATGCCTAATAGAAATGTTAACTCCAGTGTGTAAATAACAGGGGGAAGGGGCCGCTAAAGCCAACATTTATTTATCCGCTGCAGTGTTTTCACCCTACCGGGGGTGTTAACTGTCACATGCTTAATAAACTTCATCCATCTGTCTCGCTGAAAAGGCTGCCGGAGCTCTCTCCTGCATGCTGGATTCACCTCTGAGTGCATGCACGGCACTCCTCCTCCTCCTCCTCCTCCTCCTCCTCCGTCGCTCCCGTCGTCCTCGAAAACGAAACAACCGTGCTCGATATGTTCAATAATAATAATAATAAAGAAAAAAGAAATCGCTCAGAATCTTATTCTATGGAGCAGATAGCCACGTCCCTATTTTTTTTATTTTCGTGTCGGGCTCATGAGGAGGCTCTCACGAGGCCCTTGTTTAACTCGCTAACTAAAATGCCAATAGCAGAGCGTTCAGCTGATGCCCATTACGGCGCCGGTCCAGCTGAGCCTGTTTTAAAGCGCAGTTACATCGGCTAACTGCTCAGGCTCTCAGTCAAAGTGTTTTGTTAGATGGTGAAACAGTCATTCTAATTGCACGTCACAAGCGGAGAAACCGGTTATTTGATATATGTAGGATTTATTATTTTAACTCAATACGCGACTCCTTTCGGCTGCATTTGCATGAACCTCTGTGGAACCACCTGCGCCTCATCGTGTCCCTGATCTTTATGGACCCGGACAGTCGACCTGATTACTGTTGATGATGCTGTTTACCGACAAAGAGCTGTGACCCGATATCACCTCACGCTGCACACACACACCCGGCACCGGGCACGCTGTCAAAGTGTGTGTGTGTGTGCTGCTGCCTGTTCATCACAGATATTGCTCTAATCAATTTCATCTGAGGCAGGCGGTGTGGGGGTGGAGGGGGGGGGATGAGACGATCAATGGCTGGACACCTTGAGGCTCATTTTAATTTTCACAGCCCAGAGACACGGTGGCTGTTTTACTGGCAGATTCGCTGACATCATGTGTGGACACTTGGGTCAACATTGTGAGTTTGAATCTGCATGTTCAGGGTGAAAACAGCTGAGGTCACTACATCACAAACGTTGGATTCAGTCTGTAAAGCTTTAAACCATAGACTGGATAACAGATAGCTTCCATGATGTCACCCGTTGGTTTCTGCACTGAGAAAATGAAGCCAGGGTTTTGCTACTTCCTGGTTGACATCTTGGATTTTTGGAGCCAGTGGGAGGGGGGCGGAGCCATAGGAGCAGCGATTGGTCAGACGGATTGAGAGGCGGGCCCTCTCTGCCCGCCCACATTTACCGCCTTCTGCTCGCTTCATCTGTATGGTCGCTGCCGACTGTCAATCAAGCCAGCCACGCCCCTTGCCCCGCAAAATGTTGACGATTTTTTAAAAATTCAGTATTGATTTATTTTCAGATTGGCCACCTGATCTCTGGACTTGACCATGAAAACTAATAAGAAAAAAATCCTGAGCTGTAGGAATGCAGTATTTGGTGATCTGTGATCACTTCCTTTCTGATTCCAGTCTATGGGAGCCAGGGCTTTTTGGAGCCAGCAGCGAGTGGACGTAGGGCGGCTGTGGCTCAGGTGGTAGAGCGGGTTGTCCTCTAATCGCAAGGTTGGCAGTTCGATCCCCGCTCCACAGTTGAAGTGTCCTTGGGCAAGACACTGAACCCGAAGTTGCTCCCAGTGGCAGGCTAGCTCCTTGCATGGCAGCTCTGCCATTGGTGTGTGAATGGGTGAATGAGAAACATTGTAAAGCGCTTTGAGTGCCGCAAAGGTAGAAAAGCGCTCTATAAGTGCAGACCATTTATGTAGTGATATTGTAGGTTTTTGACACTTCCAGGTTGGCTTCATTTTTCAGGGCCGGTTGCTGCGTCCATCTTTTATACAGTCTATGCTTTAAACCTTTAAATGCAAAACGTATATAAAAGCAGAACAGTTTCACTTTACGTCCAGAGGAAACGAGCAGCCCAGAGGCCGCCCGTCGTAAACGCCGTCCGTTAAAGCAGCTGCTCCGGGGGAGATTGTGGAAAGAGCAAGACAATAAACAGGTGTTTCTATCAATAGTTTGTCACACATAGCGGGTGACAGGGTGCCCCTCGCAACCAGCTCCTGCTCCATCAAACACTGTGCGGGCAGATGGTGCTCCGCAGACCTGTGAGTTTATTGAACCCGTGCACACAATCACACATGACTACACACACACACACACACACACACACACACACAGCCGACTCCTGAAGCACACACATGCACACCTGAGCGCAGACGTGTACTCCTGCCCTCCAGCTGGAGGAGAGCGAGGCTCTGGGACGCCTGCAGTCTCAGTGGTGTCTAAACACATTGAGCGTGGCCTCCTCTGGCGACTGACAACGTCTTAATGAGTATTTCCTGAGTCTCAACTCAATTATAAGCTCCCTGGCAGTACCTGGCCGAGAAGAGATGTTCACATTCACTTTGGGCGAGTGTTACAGCAACAGGGAATCTTCCCTCCAGGTGTCGGAAAACTTCTCCTGGCAAAGTGTTGATTGAGACGCTCCTCTCAGCCGGCGCCTTCATTTTTCAGCCCCTTGTTAATTTGTCTGAAAACACTTGATTAAACTTGAGCAGTGATGCTGTCATAGTCCACAGACACAGTGGCTTTTCTTTTTTCTTCTTTTCTCTGGTGGGTTTAGTGATGAAATCAGACGACTGGCTGTTAAACATACGAAGCAGTCTTTCCGTGCTAACCGACTGGTTCAGTAAAATCATCAGTTTGTTATCAGTTTGGGTTCATTATTGAGAATAACAGAAATATGTTTGCATCTGTCTCACTGTTTGTTGATTAGAACAAGGTGATTAAGTGTAATAAACACTGAACTAGCAGGTGTGTTGTCATGGATGTGTTTCCATGCTGCAGATAGGACTGAAGAAAAAAAAATCTTCTGTATATTATTTTCTCTTGCATTTTTTGTGTTTCTTTTTCCTACAATTTGGGTGTTTCTATATTATTCTTGCACTGACTGCACACTTTTTTTCTTTTGGAGCTGTTGTAACGGTGAACTTTCCCCGCTGTGGGATCAAGTTTATCTTTACCAGCTAAATCTAAAGACAGCGATCGCACCAGTAAAATAAAACGCTTATTTGATTTGGGTGATCTGTTGAAGGGGATGTGCAGCTTTGTTTTGTTGTGCTTCATGAAGATGTGACCAAAAATGTTTTGACTTTTTGATTTGCAGTGCTTTGTGAAAGTCTTCTGTCCTGATTTGTTCTCATCTCAAACACCAGGTAGGTTAAGTTAATCCTGCGTTTCACCTAAATTGAATTGTGTAAAAGAACTTTATTAAATGATGGAAATGATTTCCACCTAATTTGTTTTTCTTTCAGCATGTAGCCGCTACGTTAGCCCAATTCACTTCAGTTAGTTTAAATTATTAATATCATTTTTAACTCATTTAAAACCAGCTGAACTCATCACATGAAGTCAGACCCAACCGTAGTCAATACATTGGTTTGATCCTAATACAGTTGAATGGCTCAATTAAAATATAGAAAACCTAACTGACTTTTCTTTTTCCTCCA